AGTATAATAAGTATATATATATATAATATATATACATATATTATAGATATATACTTATTAGTAATTCTTTCAATATGAGATACAATGATTTGAAACAATTTTGTTGAATAGTGTAGCAGATTTATTTTAATAGAGATCTTTTGATTATTTTGAGCAATACATATAAATAAAAAATTCAATTGTTTATAATTTTTATGTGATTTTTTTATATTTTTCTTCTATTTTTTTTATAATTTAATGTATGTAATATATGTAAAATGTATTAATGATTGATTCAAAAAAAAGTCTAATTTCAATTTATATAATTTATTATTATATATTATATAATTTATTGTTATATTTATTGTTAAAATTCTTATAAAATTATTAATAATATTGATGATATTTTTTTTATTTATAATATTAAATTATATTTGTGATACACATCATTTTTAGTTTTGATGAAATTTTAATTCATAACTTGAATTAAAAAATATTATTGTCAATACTTCAAAATACATTAATATTTTTAATATTTAAATAAAAATAAATAATTAATTTTAGTAATGTATAATTTTGATAATGAATAAGGAATGAATTTAATTGAATCTTATTTAATATATAAATAATTTCTTTTTAATATACAAATAATCTTATTTAATCTTATTAAATATAATGAATGTTAAATATCATGTAATGAATATTAAATATTTTATTAAATATTAAATAAAAATTTTATTAAATATATTTAATTAATGAATATTATTATTTATTTAATTAATAAATATATTATATATATTTTATTTAAATGTCATGTATATATATTATGTTTACAGAATTTATATTATCAAAGTCCACGTAATCCAAATCTGATAGCAATTGTTCCTGTAGATGAACGTTCTGTGCTACAGCAAAGTGATTTAACTTGTTCGGTAGAGAAAACTGCTTCAAATATAGACTCTTATTCTGCAGGTATGTAAAATAATAGAGATATTTAATATTGTCATAGAATATGCTACAATGAACTAAATGATTTTAGAATTTTTTTTATTATTGCATCTATTTGTTGTATCATAAATTAAAATATACATACATATATTTTAATTTAGTACATTACAAAATTAGTACATTTTTAGTACATATTCATATAGTAAAGTTAATACCAAATAATTTAAATATAAAAAATATCAAAATAAATATAACTACAATAATAAATTTTTATATTCATTATATATTATTTCACTCATATTAGTTTTAATAATGAAAATCGTTTATTGTAGCATTCATTCATTATAATATTATTTGTTATATATAATATACACACATCTCACTCTAGTTATATTTTTTGTATTTATTTTCTGAATATTTTATATATAAGAATAATATTTTTAGAAGTATCAAAATTTCATCGGTTCAAAGATAATGGAAGTGGTTCAGATGAAGAAGATAACAAAGAACAGAAAACTATAATTACAAAATCAGAAGATATTAAAAAAGATGGGATAGATGATAAAACATCTATGATAAATGAAAATCAAACAGAAATTATAGAAAACTCGAAAAAAATTGAAGAAGATCAAGAAGTTAATGATGATGATGATGATATCATTATAATGGCTGATCTTGAAGAAGAAGATAGTTTAGAACGCTTAATGGATGAAATGGAAAGAGAAATGAATGTTGATAAACCGTCCGAGAGAAAAGAGAAGAAAGGTAATAAAAGAGAAAATAGAGAATCTATGAAAAAGGATGAGGCAAACAAGAATATGAAAAATAAAATAGATGATAATAACACTCGAAAAGAGAGATATAGTCCAGCACCAGCAACAATCATTTTAAAAAATGAAAGACGGTCTATATCTCCCCATATTATCAATCGAATTTCACAAAAGCGTAGATCATTATCACCAAGATCACGATCAAGAAAAAAATCACCAAGGAGATCTCCTAGAAGATCACCCATTCGACAATCAAAAAAGTCTCAACGAGAAATAACAAGGTATAGATCACCTAGAAAGTCTCCCGTACGTTATTCTCCACGATCACGATCACCTAAACTTTCGTCACGTTCGAGATCACCACGATTATCACCACGTAGATCTCCAAATAAATCTCCAATAAGAAGATCGCCTATTAAGAGATTGTCTCCAAGAGGACGTTCTCCAAAACTTTCTCCGCATTCCAGATCTCCTAAACTAATACGATCGCCTAAAACATCTATGATGAAATCTCCAAGACTGGCAAGATCACGTTCTCCAAAATTTTCACCACTTAGATTATCTCCTCAATCTAGGTCACCGTTAAGATCAAGATCACCTAAGTTATCTCCAAGACGAATATCACCTATGCGTAGGTCATCACCTAAATTAAAATCTCCCGGATTATCTCCTCGAAGAGGATTATCACGTATAATGTCACCAAAAATATCGCCGCGAAGGATGTCACCAAGATCAAGATCACCGAAATTATCGCCACGTAGATCACCATGGTCATCACCTAGAAATTCTCCTCGAATGTCTCCTAGACGAAAAAGATCTCCCAGATGGTCACCTAAAGAATTATCTCGAAAACATGGACCTCGATCTATTTCTCCAGATGGAACATGTAGTCCATCATATACAAAAAATTTATCGCCAATAATTAAAAATAGAATATCTCCAGAAACGAATCGTGTGAAAGCAAAGCAAAAAGAAGAAAATTTGGAATCTACTATAACAGAAAAAGAAATTGATGATATTATTAATGATCCTGTATTAGAAGCCAGACGAAGAAAGTTTGAATCTACAAGGCCTATAGATCCAATAAATGCAAATAAAAAAATTAAATTAAATAAAAAAGAAAATATAAATAAAAAGATAGAGTCTTTAGAGGGCGGAGATATTCAATCAAATATAAGAAAGATTAATAAAATTACAGAAGATTATGATATTCAAGAAACAGATTTATGTTTAGATACTCATTATGAGTTTGAAGAATTTGAACAAAATATGGAAAATGCTTCTCCTATCGCTATAAGTTCTGTTAATTCATGTATAGATTTAGAAATTCAAAATCCAGAAAAAGAAAGATCAAAAAAAAAGAAAAAACGTGATAAAGAATTGTATCAAGTAGGAAAATTAAAGAATGAACTTCCCCTTTCTGAACGTATTGGGAAGGATAAAAAGTGTAAAAAACGCAAAGATGTTATTTCGGACGGATCCAGTGAAGATATGGACGCTATTTTCGAAGATTTAGTAGTTGATAAAGAAAGTGATTTACGAACTGAGTTAAGTAGAAGACGCGCAGAAAGATTAAATAGGACAGTGCCAATTCAATCTGCAAGATTAGTGCAATCTGCTTTTAAAGGAGTTGTTAATGAGTACGTATTTATTAAATATGAAGTAAATACGCTTTTTTATTATATTATCAAAATTTAATAATCTTATTTTTTTAAGTTTGAAAATAATATCATAGATATTCTTTTTTTTTCTAAAAAATTAAAAATCTATATTTTTTAAACTTAAAATTAAAGATATGTTTATATATTATATACAAAATATATATTATATACAAAAAAATACATACACATAAATGTATGTATTTTGTACATATTTATTTTTAAAAAAATTAATATAATATATTTTTATCAAAGATCTTAAATATGGATGTATTATTTAAACATATACGTATATATATATAAT